AACTTTAACAGTCTCTTTCAGCAGTTTTTCACAACATTAAGACGTTTTATCTTACCTTTTGTGGGATCTTAGCAAGGGCTGATGCAATTACGTTGGCCCTTTCTTCTGACATGTTACTGACCATGGACCCCAGAGAAAACACCACAACACCATTGTCTCCAGAGCTCTGGACAAACTCTTCCATTTCCTGTGAAAAAAAGAACGTGTTCCATCATAATAGATTATCAGCACCGCAAGCACTGTGAAACAATTGGTACAAAAACTAAAAAGAGAAAATCTCGTTTTTTGACTGACTCCATTACTTAGTTTTTTTGCAAGATGTATAATATTAGATAGGATGCCTCTGTTAAGGGTATTTGTATAAATATGTGTGTGTGCATGTTTGTGTGTGTGTGTGGGTGTGTGTGTGTGAAAGAGAGAAATGAAATAGAGCTCTTACACAGTATTTGAGGAGATACCCGAACTCTTCATTTATAATATTATAAGTACTAATGTAGGCTCCTTAAAGTGGCACCACTTGGTTTTAATGCTATATTGTTGTTCTGCTAAATCACATATGTTTATTTTACACAGGTTTTCTACAGAATTATTTTAGTTGGAAGTCATTAGTGGTTGACTTCCCTGACTCTGAGCACTGAGGAAAAGTTACTCACAGCTGCGATTATGTGAATCTACATTTATCTTACTATAATCTTGTACACGTCACTTAAAATTTGTCAGAGTTTTCCAGTCTTTTTTCAAAAAAAGAAAAAAAAAAGTAATTGTAAAAAGTGGTGGTTAAGCATCACTGACATGCTGGAGTCTGCTATTGTGGTTTGGAGTTTCTATGAATTAATTCTAAGAGTCTCATTTATAATACAGAATTGTACAGTATATAGTTAGATAGTTGAATGATCATATTTTTTCAGCTGATTGTTTAGGTGGAACACCTATTGCCCTGAAATCACACTGTTAAATTGATGTGCTATCTTTAACTGCATGTGAGGAACTCTCATCATCTCTTTGCTGTGTCTCAGAGGCAGCAGCACTTGCACCAGAATAGAAGAGACTGCCAGGCCTTTCTGCAGAGGAGATTTAGTCACCTTCTTGCATAGCTCACTCACACCACATACAAATCTTGGTGAAAACGTACTTGGCTGGAATTTATTGAGAATCATTCTGACTTGTGTTCCCCAATCTATGCCAATTTTTAAAGTTAAATAATTTCAGATGTAATCATTGGGGTAAAACTTTCTCTTAAGTGTTCTTTGCAAAACAAAGGGAAAAAAAAAAAGTCCAAATGCTTATTTGCAGACCACATGTGGCTGAGTATTTTTTAAAATATGACTTTCAGTGTTAAGACATTAGTGTTAATGATGTCAGAGTCACTGTAGTACTATTCCAGGTAATACATGGGATACCCAGGTATTGTGTGTGATTGCAGTGACCTGTAGCCACATTTGATGTAACTTATGTTCAGTGTTTTGTCTCAGTGGCTTGATGCTCAGAGCTTTCTTCATCCACCCAGGGTTAAAGTAATATAACCACTATTTACAGATTCATTATTGATGTGGACTAATTGTTTCCCATTCTGTGACAACTTAAAAAAAAACACAATTTATGTAAGGAATTTTATAAAAGTATTAAAAGTTCTAAAAGGAAAATAAGTTTTTTAATAACATTTCTTTCTAGAAATGTTATCAAGGTAAATATGTATGTTTTCATGATGGCTTTTGTTCTATTTTCATAGCTGAATGTAAAACTGTGACATTTATTTAGACAATTTTGTTATTATTGTCTATACTTTTTCTCCAGCAAAAAATGTCATCTTGTAATATTTATAATTTTCTACCTTGCTTTAATTGTATTATAGCTGACTGTAATTGAATTTCTTATTGATAAAATTATTATAATGCTACAGTATGCATCTAGTATGTTTTTAATTATTCCTTCATTTAAGATGTTTCGTTACTTCCAATGTTTATTTTGTGAATATTTTCCATAAATATTAAATATGTATATCTTGATTTTTCCTCTGTATGATTTCATGCAAATATCTTACAAAACCAATGGCTATATGCATTTTTAACACTTGATACATTTGCCAAGTGTCCTTTTCTATGAAAATATACATAAATTATCTGAGAATCTAATATTTAATCGACTAGAAAGCAACTTGGGTTTACAATTATTTCATATAATAAACAATTAGAAATTGGGTTTCACAACCATTGATTTTCATTCAAAGCTTTCTTCAAGTTAATAACAACAGCTAGTATAAGTAATTAACAACAGCTAGTACTAGTAATTATCACTGTTGTACTACTAGTCATCCTTTTTCTTGTCCTTCTACACCTCCTACTTTCTTCCCCCTCCTACTGGCACTATCGGTTTCCCATAATGTGAGTGGGGAAATCTTTCAAGAGTAGGATAGGGTGGCACAGAATTTCCAATAGTCTCACCTCAGCTTTTGTCTTTTTAGAAAATTACCTTATAAATTCCATACAATTTGCATTCAAC